ATCGCCTAAAGTAATAGTGCAATCTCCTAAGAAAATACTCAGATCGGATCACTATAGCATATAGCCGCCATACAAACTGAACAATCGTAATCAAGTGCTGGTATGGAATTTTTTTAAAATTATTTATGCCTTCATTTCGTCAATTTAAAGCGAGAAACTATGATTTTAGTAACAAGAATTTAGCACTTTATTGGGTTAAATTTATCGTGAGCGAATTATAACAAGATAGATCATCTTGTTTGACTCCATTATATTACGTTTTATGGGAGTTATATCAATTCTAATGGACTTCGGTGCTAAACCAGCTCCAATGAACCAGTAATAAAACGAGATGCGCCGCGTTTTTGAAGAGATAAGGCTGATTAGGCAGTAAAAACTCGTGCAGACACTATAATTAGTATACTAAGGACACACTCGCGGGGGAGATTATAGGCATAATTCCATTCAAAAACTAAATGCCATATAATTTAAGAATTATTAAAGACTAAATATTTGCCATTTTATAAATTTTATTTTGTTTAATTACAAATAAAAGTTTTATGCGGCTTAAAAACCAAAATGATACATATACACACATAACTCTAAAATATTTCAAGCACATTGTTATCGTACTTTTGCATGCCAAAAGAATTCAAATACGCACCACTTTCTTTTTTGGCACTTTCAACATGTTCCCTGCCGCAAAACCACCAACCACAAACCGCAATGCAACTGCAAATACTATATAACAAATATAACAGAGAGAAAAATCACTTAACAATATGAAGTAAAACTTTGATGACCGAGTAAGGCTTAAAGTCTTTAAGAAACAATGGCACTAACAAAAACACACACACATGCCCGCAAAAACTGGGCGCAAAGCCACAAAACTGCTGCAGGCGCAAGAATACACAAGCTTTAGTATGTGTGTGAGAGGCGCAATCATACAGCATAAAGTTGCCACATTGTTGCACACAAGTGTATGTGCGGCACAGTACACATTGTCTGTTTGCCTGACTTGTCTTCATAATAGTTTAAGCCATTTAAACCAATTTGGCCGCAAGAAAAAGTATAATTGAGTGAAAATTGGCAGCCGACATCGACCATTGTGGCAAGTTTGCAAGGCAAGAAAACTATTACATATGCATGAGTGTGCGAGTATGTGTGTGTGTGCACATAAGTGCGCCTATGATAGTGCGGCTAAATGGTGTTGCATGTTTACACGCCACTCAACTTTGAAGTACAACTTCGAGCAGCACAAAACAAACAAATTAACAACACGCTCGGCCACAATGGCTGCCAACGAAACGACGAGAATGAAGCTGCCAAGCATCAGGCATTCAGGCAACTATGCACACATACAATCATCAGCCATCAACCAGCCAAGCATTAGCCATCCAGCTATACACTTATAAAACCATGAGCCCTCCAACCAACGCTCAGCTATCAACCAGCCATTCAAGAGCTTGCCACGAGCAAAAGTTTGCTCCTTTGCATTGCTGGCGTGCAAATATGCGGCTTCCTGCCACTATTTATCTAATTGAATTAACTGAAATTACAAGTAAAACCCGTGCAGACGAAAGTTACACTGATGACTATGAATATTTAGCCAACTTTTTGTATGCAACATTTTTTTTTTTTTTTGTGTATTCAAGGCTATTGGTTACATAGCTAGCCAATATGTTCATGCTGCGCTTCATACTTTTGTCAAATACTACCCCTGCTGTGGCATATGAAATTAATAAAGCTAAAAATGATGACTTTTATGCCTCGGCCCCTGCTGCCGTGCACCGTTATGGGAAAAATTCGCCATTGTGGCAACTTTGTCGTGCGCATTTTTCAACTCTTGTACCAGTTTTGTGTTGGTATTATGCAACACGTTGCACTTTTTGCTTACTGTTATCTACTGGCGCTTTGTCAACACCTCACCGCCCCTCCCGCGCCAGACTGGCATGATGATTAACTTTGTTAGCTATTTTGGGGTAATTTTTATTCGTTTCTTTGTCGGGCTTGTCGTGGTTGTTGGAAGTTTTCAGTTCAGCTTTTGTGCTTTCCCCGGCGTTCGGCATTGCCAACGTGTACAAACAAATTTTTAATTAAATTTTCAGTAATTTGTATGCACATACGTTGTATGTCACGTTGTGTGTGTGATTTTTGAATGGTTACGATATTGACATGCTCGCTGCATGCCACAGTGACGGCAGCAGCAATTGTGACACTTTAAAAGGCTGCGCGCCTGTGTGCTATAACTGTGAAAGTGTTGATGTTGTTGTTCTTGTTATTGGACATTTTATTACATGCCACTTTTTCATTGTTGTTGCTGTTGTTGTAATAGTATGTGTGTTTGTGTGTTGTTTGATGTGGCTTTCGTGTCGCCAAACAAACAGCATGTATGTTAAAGTGTGCAAATTAATTTTGAGCGCTGCTCCGGAAACACGGAGCGGGTAGTTAGATAGTGAAGGAGAGAGATGTAAATGAAGTAAATAAGAGTGATATAGCAAATTTATTGCGGAACTTGTAATTTCCATGATAGTTTGCAAATACGCGCTATTAAAAAGCAGTAAAAGCTCTATGAGCTTTAAGCGGAGCTTTTTAGCACTTTTTTCAATGTCTTTCGAGTGTGTATACAGGTATTGTCAGCAATGTGTTTCTGAACTCAAAATTAGGTCAAATGTTTTAACTTCAGTCATATTTAGGTTAAAAAAGTATAGAAAAGCTCCGGGCTAGACAAAAGCTCTAGTTCTACAAACATTTATATTGAAGCTTTTGCTCTCTCTGTTGGTTGTAGTAAATTATGTACCCCAAAGCCTCTCTAAAGTTTTAGTCTATAAATTACTTGCACTAAAATCGGCTCCTTAAAGAGTCTTCCGACTGCAACGAGCTTTCAATCCATTAAAGATACTTTGAGTTATTTAAATTTAAGCTTCAACAAAATTTATTTGCTCACTTTGCTAGTGAAGCTTTAATATAGCAAGCCTAATACTTCGGCTATGGTTGGAATTAACTTTTTTTAATAAAGAGATCCATTCCAGTAATGTCATATTTCACGCTCGGCTAGACTTTTTGAAATATTTATGCAAACTGGAAGGATCCGAAGTCCAGCGATCAACAAGAGTGTGTGCAAAAAGCTTTCCCCTTTGAGACTTAATGCTTCGTTAATTTAGAATTTTTTTATAGCGAATATATAATATTTTAATTAAATATTGCCGCAAAGCTTTATACCGACTCATCGCAAGTTCTAATTTTTGAAGCTTGATAAATCAGAGTTTCTTTATAAAGCTTATATTTTAATTACGCTTGAAATGCAAAGTTTCACACTTGATTAGATGAGATTCAAAACTGTATAAGAAATCGGTTAGCGGTGGCAAAGCTCATCTGAAGCTCTCATCGTTGAGCCTTGATACTTCTCTAATTCAGTGTGTCTTTATAGAGGCTGTTTTAGTTAAGCTTGAGCTTGAGCTATATACTGAAGCTTCAGATTTTTTTTATAAGAAGAGTCTATGTTAATTAGTTTTAACGGTTTGAACTTAAAAAGCTTATCGGAAGCTCTCATCTTTGAGTCTTGATGCTTCGCAAACTCAGGGTTTCTTTTCAATGTAAGTGAACTAATGCGAGTAAGATTTTGTTGGAAATCTTTCTCAGCTTATTTTATCGAATTTTCGAAGAACGTACGACCCATAATTAGGATGAAGTATGTGTGTAAGAACTATATAGATTCTTCTATAAATATATAGTATTTTTGTAGTACGAACAGGGTATTTTAAGTTTGCCACAAAGTTTGTAGCAGAAGGAAATGTGGGAAATCCTATACAATATATACTTATACATGCGCGACAAGCTGAGTCGATTTAGTCATGTTCGTCTGTCTATACATACGCCAGCTAGTCTCTCAGTTTTTGAGATATTAATCTAAAATTTCGCACACAATTTTCTTTTCTCACCAATAAGCTGCTCATTGTCAGAATCGCTGATATCAGATCACTATAATGTATAACTGTCAGACAAGATATCCACATGAAATTCGGCATGAATTATTGCCCAATCTCCGAATAATTGTTCAAATCGGACTACTATATTATATAGCTGTCATACAAACCGAGTTATCACAATCATGATCTTATATAGAAAACTTTTTTATTTGACGAGTTATCTTAACGAAATTTGACACAGATTAGTATCCAATGTAATGCTTCAATATTCAAACATATTGTTCAGATCGGACCACTATAGCATATAGCTGTCACATAAACTGACTGATCGAAATCAAGCCTTTGTATAGAAAGTCTTTTACTTGGCGAGATATTTTCACGAAATTTTGCTTGAAAAGTTTTTCAAGACTACGCTACAGTCTCCAAGCAAATCGTTCATATCGGACCTGTATATGATATACTGGTAGCTGTCATAAACCGATCAAAATCAAGATTTTGTATGGAAAATCTTTTATTTGTGAAGGGTATTTTAGCTTTGGTACAACCGAAGTTTTAGTTTTTGCTTGTTTTTGTCTAATAATTTATGTAAATAATTGAAACTGTTTTTTTTTTATGAACTTATACCTAACTTTTATGAACATAACTGGCATTAAAAAACCAAATTTAATATTTAATAACTATTTCACTTCGCAACACATGTTAAACTGTGCTTAAAGTAAATAGTCTGGATTGATGAGAGTTAATAAGGACTCATCAACAGGCATTTACTTCAATCGCAGTTCAAACAAAAAGCTACAAACGAAAGCCAAATATTAGGAAAAAGTGATTGTGAACAACGAAAGTGTACATTCCCACCCCAAAAGTAAAAAAAAAAACAAATTTTTTTAAGAAATAAGAGAAGAACGCAAAACTCAGAAAAGCTCGAATGCGTAAGATACTACGGTGCAACCTTTTAACTACTTTTTTGTTTACAATTTGAGTTAACCTTTTCAATAAATAATGAACCTTGACCAATAATTTACCCTCAAAAACTAACATTGCTCTCTTTTTCTCCCCTCTCTCTCCCATTTGCTAATACTCACGCACGTATAGTACGCCAAGAGAGTGAACGCCTACTCAAAGAGTCGCTGGATCGTGCGCGCTCCAACAAAAACGCAACAGACGCAGCGGCGCATTTAGCATTACAACAAATTCCATAACACAACGGCGATTCAGCGGAGCGTAGTAGAAAATTCGAGTTTCCACCACAATTGTTGCGACACCAGCAACCGCCATTGGAAGAGATACAAGCGCAGGAGCAACAGCAGCTGCAAAATGGTGGCGTAGTGCTCGGTTATGCGAACGGTGGACTCGTGCACATTTTGGCACGCTTCGCTGAAGAAAGGCCAAAACTCGACGACGACAACAACAACAACAATGACGTAGAGAAGAGCAACAGTAGAGCTATTGCGAAGAATAACATAAACAATGCAGCAACAGCGGGGGAAACAAGAACATTTACAGCAACACCCACATCGCTGGCGGCGAGTAGCGCACAAGCGACCTACGAGGCGGTGGAGACACGAACCGTAAACGATTTGCTAATAACGAAGGCTGTAAGGAGACGCAGAGCTGCATCAGTGGAAAATGCAGCGTTAGAAAGTGGAGCAGACACTACAAAGCCGACCAACATGCATGCGCCACACACACTTGCCACACACCTTGCAACACAGCAAAAGCAGCAGGCGCAGCCAGAAGCGCCGCAGCAACAGGCGGCATTGTCAGCACAACTGTCAATTGCGATGTTCGCACAAATTTTGTAGCATCACACACCGTTAGCGTACGCCAATCTATTGGCTGAGCAGCGATTTTGGTGCGCGGCACCGTCGCTGCTTATGCTACTGTCGCTTGCTTGGCGCAAAACATTGATCACGACACATCAATTAACGCGCCACCTCTGCTGCAAGGTGTGTCCAGCCACCACCAACAACAATACCCACTGTTATGCTTGCAACATCGTTGCAGGCATTCAATCGCTAAAGCTGTAAATGGTACAAAACTACAAAGTCAAAAGACCCTTGGACCTAAGTAAGTTTTCAGCACACAAAATGGAAATTTCCGCATTTGCTTAGACCCTTCGACAGTCAAACTGCGCATCCGGCGGCGAAATTGTAAAAACTATTAGATTAGTGTTCGTGCACTGTTGTTATTGTATTGATGGTTAGCGAAAATTCCCGATGTAAACGGGGTTTGCATATTAAAAAAAAAGAGTCTTTTAAATATAAGCTTTTTAAAAAGCGAACCAAATTTTTGACATTTCGCGGTGGTTGAGTGGTAGTTGTTCAAAAAGATAGTTTTTATTTTTGAAAAATATGAGTTTTGAGACAAAAAACGAAATAAGTCGGTAATTTCGTTTGTTTTGCTTAGAAAAATAACCGTGTAGGAGCTGGAAAAAAGCTTTCCAACCTTTTTCGAAAACTATTAATTTTTACTTACAATATGAATGAAATCGGTAATTTGATTTTTTGCATGAAAATGAGGAACAGTAAATCAATTTCTCAACTTAACCAAGTGTGAAACAACAACTCGTTCGATCTGAGCCGAGCACTAAGCTTATTTCGCGCATGAAAAAGCTTTTTACACAGAAATATTTAAAGCCGCACCACTTGTGTGATAAGAGCAGGAAAAAAATCTAAAATGTGAGATTAAGCTCGACAAAATACAATTACATAAGGAGACAGCCTACACATTAATAAAATAAAAGTTTCAACACATATATTCTCAACTATAAAATTCGAAAAACACTCACTGAAACAGGTACAATTTTGAAAATATCACTTCACTGGGATTCGCAAAAATTGTAGCGGTTAAATTATGCAGCCGCGCAACTGCTATGAAAATTTTTATTTTTAATAATTGTGATTTCTAAATTATTTTTTTGTTTATAATTCTCCAAAAACCAAATCTCTTTGATTACCGTACGCGTTTGTAAATATTGCATCATTAACTGTATGTGTATATTTCTTGTGAATATCACTCTCCCAAAACAATGGAATGCCACCAATCAAACACCTGCAACCTCCAACGATTGCTACCCTCAACCGCCGCCTTATGTCCCCGTATGAGTACCTACCTGCAATGAGAAGATTGTGTTATGATATTAGCATTGTTATTGTAAATAGATATGAAATATATAGTATAAATGAATTATAAAATGCAAATGTTTAAAGTTGCGCATGGCGATATGCCTGAGAGCTAATGCAAGCGGATTGTTTTTTTCGGCCTAAACAAGCAAACTATTGTTTACTTACTCACTTGTATGAAAGTAGGTAATAACTGATTATTAAAAATTATGCAACAAAAATTAGTATCCTAAGTAGCAGTTTATCTGCCGAAAATTTTGTGTATAATTATGTAACGTAAAATTTGTAATATGTATAAAAAAAAAAACACAGGAAAATCGAATTTTTTAGGTGCTAAAAGTAGATGAAAGCAGTAGTATGAAAATATAAAAAAAAATATGTACTAATAAAAGATAAACTTAAGTTAATAAAAATTAAAATATACAAAAAATATTAATTAAAAAAAAAAAATTATAATTAAAACAAATTAATGCAAATAAAAATAAATAAATGATGAAAACACAGGGAATATTCTACGTAAATTTCAATAAAATACGTATTACCTGTACTTTAAATTAAAAAAAAACTATAGTAAATCGATGAAAGTACTAAACAACCTAATAGTAACAAAGTAACGAGTATTATTTGTAATTGTGTATTAAATACGATATTCAATAGTTGTATTTATGTATGTATGTAAGTAATTGCAGTAAAACGTTTATCATTAACAATAACTAGCGGTAACATTGCATAACGAACAAGAAACGTAACAAGCGCCTAGCAAAATATAAAAAAATATAAATATATTAATGTATGTATGTGTGTACAAACATACGTAGAATAAAAATACATATAATGGAGGCACTTTCAAGTATGGACTACAGATTTTTACACTTTCTTACACAGTGACATCCATTTTAAATTCCAATATTCAAATTCTCATTAAAATATGCAAATAATAAATTTGGAGCCGCATAAATAGACGCTGCTTGATGCTCCTTACCTTTCACACAACCGATGTGGCATTGAAATTATTATGCATCAGAAAAAAACAATTTTTCTTTAAATTTCGTTAAAACGGATGTTTTTCACGGTTAATATTCGGTTAAATTTAAGATTAAATCACGTTTTAAAACTTTTTACACAGTCTTCACTTACACTAACGCTTAATAATTGTAAGATGCAAATTTTTCCAAGAAGCGAATACTAAACGAACAAAATATAAGATTTGCATTTAAAGACACAAGCACTTTACTACTATTATTTATAACACCAAAAACGACACACTTTTGAAGCAAACTCGCACAGATTTTATTAAACAAATTAAAAATTTGCTGTAACTGACGCCAAAATACGATCAAAAGGAAATGATTAATATCGCCAAAGTCAGCTGTTGGTTGCAGCAAAGCATTTGTTGCACAGAAGCACTCTGTGAAAATACCGTTATACACAGGAAGTACCGAAATATCAAGCAATTAATTTATATAGGACAGTTAAAACTTGAAAGTGCAGGATTTGAGGAAAATGTTGAGACAATTTTTTAACTTTAGCGTAAAAAAATTATTTACCACAAAAAAATGTTGGTGTGTGTTTTTACTTGTAAGGTAGCTTAGGGGAATTCCGTTAATATTATTGTCGCAAATACATAAAATTTGTATGATCCAATGCAAATATGAAAAAAGTAACATTTCAAGAACATTATTATATTATCAGGGTGGCTTATTATATTATAAGTTTTTATCTACGATCTGACTTGTATTATTTACATAATTTTTGTTATGTAGAAAATTTTGTAATAAAACAAAAATATGAAATATGAATTTAATTGCTCACATAATTTTTGAATATCTACATGACAAAATTTATTTCAATTTTTTAGTTAAAATTGGATTATTTATTTATTTTGCATTTATTAAGATTTATAAATATGTACAGATTGGTATTTTCTATGCAAATATTATTTTAAGAATAAAAGATATTTATTTGATTATTTTTCATTTATTAAGATTTAAAAATACTTTGCAAAAAGATATTTTGAAAATTATTATTTTTTACATTTTCCATATTATGATTGAAAATTAAATCTGATATAAAATATTACTCCTTGCCACCACCCTGTTATTTAACCTACAGCTTTTGGTTACGTTCACATTATTATGCTTAAGCATTTACACTGGCGGTTTCAAATTAAAAAGTATAAAGTAAAACATTGGACTATTCGGGCAAAATTTTGCTGTTTATTTTAAAGAAAATGACAGGCGAGTTAATAAAATATGCGTAGTGTTTTGTAAACTATTAGAATTAGTAAAATAAACAAGCATACAAAAATCAAAGAAGAAAGTGTAGAGCATAGATACGCTGCAAGAGAATTCGTAATTGGCCATGGCTTTAAACATATATTACTGAATTATTTTAATGATAATCGTATTATACAAACAAAGTAATCGTATTATTCACTGCAATATTTGACAATACTTTGTGTTAATTTAGCTTTTTGTGCAAAAATTTATCACATCGCTGCTACTGCTGAAAATTAACAAATAAGCTAACTAGCATAGATGAGCAGTTGGAAATATTTAACCAATTGCGCTGCTTATGCTAACGATTTGGTCTGTGCGCTTACCTTATGTTAACTTGTTTGCACATGTGTTAAACAGCATTAACTTAACTTTTAACACTTTAATTAGCGGTAATTTAACACTTTAATTAACGATAATTTAATTTTTTTGAGCACTTTATTAATGCACGCGTTGTTTCCGGCGGAACGAGCTTAAAAAAGAAACGGTGCTAGTCACGAATGACTATGCTGAAGTATACGGCAACAGGTGGCTGCCAGATTATTGATTTTCGTACAAAGTTTTTAATATATTGTATTAAAGCCTGCATATGTTGTAGTACCAATTTAGGGTATTAATTTTGTATTTAGTTTAAAGTAATTAAATGAAATTAAAGTTTGTTGCTGCATTTTTAATATTAAATATTAGTTTCTTATGAGTATTTTAGCCGCATTTTGGCAATAGCATGGCTGCGGATGTAGTTGTAGCTAATAAATAACGAATATTGTATAAAATTACGCAAATTAGAAAAATGTTTTTTGCATGAGATTGTGCCTGTCACTAATAGCAGACTTACAAGAGAGAAAGTATTATTATAAAAAAAAATTTAATTAATAAATAAATTTAAAAAGCGTGACACAAACAGCGTGAGCACAAATACATGTTGTTAGTATGAAAAAAAAAGTTATTAAAAAAATTTATTTAATAACAAAAATTAGCAAAGAACGATTTAAACAAATTTAACAGTTATTGATTGCATTAAGCGCGCAAAATGATTTGTTATTAAAAATGTGTATGTAGTAACAAGTATAATGTGTCAGTTGGTCAAGTCAAGAAATAATACTTAAATGATTTTATTAAGTGTTGAATTAAAAGCTTTAAATGAATAAAATTAAAAAATAAATTGAAATTAATAAAAATTGGAAATGCAATTTTTTTTTCCAAATTAAAAAAATACTATTACCTTGTACTTGAAGTGATAGTTTTTGGCGCAGTAGCATATTAATTACAAGTGTTTAATAAATCATAAAACAAACAAGAAAATTAAATATTAACAAAAAGCTACAAAGAAGTCTATGAGACGAGAGACTTAACTGATTTGTCAATCTTTTGCTCAATTAAGTATGAAGCTGTGTTCGCATCAACTAGTACATACAACAGTAGGTAAATGAGCGAATCGCTGTAAATAGCAAACAAACGAATGTTATTGAAAATAGTAGTGTAGTAGTGTTTACAAAAAAGACACGAGAAAAGTTTATAAAAAAATGCTAAAGAAACAGGCAAAATTAACTGTATGTGTTAAACAGAGCTGAAGACACACACAATTTTTTGAAAATGACAGAATTCTGCTGATAAAATATATTGTTAAATAAACTAACAAACAAAAATGTTAAATGAAACGAAAAATTACAAAAAAAAAAGTATATAAAAAATTACAGCAGAACAATAGATAAGTAGTGAGGACGCTGAGCTTTTATGCAAAAAGTAACGGTCACTGATGTGTAAAATGTCAAATAAACTGAAACAAGGAAATCTCTAAATTAGCATTAATTATTACGTAATTATTATTAACTATTGTAATAACAGTACATTGATTAGCCAATTTAAAAACAAAAACCAAAAAAAAAACCAGAATGAAAATGACAAACGGACACACACAAAAGTAATTCTAAATGTTAACTGTTGCTAAATGACTAAACTAAGTAAAGAATAAAGAAAAGAAAACAATCTTAATACTTAAAAGAAATTAAATACAAAACATGCAGCGTATTAAAAATAAAGAATATATATTAATAATAAATGTTAAAGCATAAAACAGAAATAAAGAAAAAATAAAGATGGACACCTGCGCGTAGAATCAGTAAAAAAGAATTATTTGTAACTGATTTAATTACAAAAAAATACAAAAAAAAAAATGAGTGTTTTATTTACAGCTGGGAAAGTGTGCAGTTTAATTAAGGCAAGTAAATATAATATATGGTATACATGGTTCTAAAATGAGGTTAGTTGGTTTGTGAGAAAAAGTCTTAAACCGAAATTAAAACTGCATTTGACTTGTGCAGCAAAAATGCAGTTAGATTATTTGTGCGAAAAAAATATTAAACAGGAATTTAAAATGCATTTGGTGTATGTAGAAAAAGTATGCTGCTTTTCGCAAAAGCGATAGATCATAGCAAAATAAATATTACTCTATTTTTGTTAGAGAAAACCTGTATATAAAAATCTGACAACACTGCAAGGGCAGCAAGTGACATAAAGCGCTAACTAAAAATTATCACTGGATATATTTAAGAGTTGAAAACATAATGCTTAACACCAATTTCTACGTTCATTGTCAAAAATACTACTAAAAATGCAACAATACATACAAATCCATTTATAAAATATTTAAATTCAAATTTGAATTTGCATTATGCGTTAAAACTCTTTGTAAAAGTTGTTATGTAAGGTTAAAAACTATAACTACTCAAAGCAACCCTGCCTTCAACTATCTCGTTGAACACGCTCGCGAAATTTTCGCCGGAAAGAAAAAGAACAAATGAGCAAAAACAATCCGCAATAATGGAACAAGCAAAACAGAAGAGAAATTGCGATAATGAAACAAATTCCAATGGTGGAACAAACGTAAAAGAAATGAAATTGAAGCAAAAACGTAATTTGCGCCAAAATCACTTTCTTCAGAACCGGAACAAATGCATATGAAATTAGCGGTTTTTAGGTTAAGAGAAATTTTGAAAAACGCCTATGACATTAAAAACCAAATTTAGCTTACCAACAACAATAAATGTTATGTAATGTTTGGACAAAAAAACAAATCTGGAGAAAATTGAGTGTGGCAGGTGTAAGCGCCTAATATTACGCAGCTTTTACTAAAAAAATGGAATTAATGCGAAATGAAACGATGTGAAATGAAAAGTTGAAAAATGAATATGAATATTAAGATGTAGCATAAAAAAACAATCAACTGACACGACCGCGCGACCATTGAAAACGCACATATGCGGTTGTGTGTGTGTTAATTATTTGTCGTATCGCACGAGTTGAAGGAAACTAAAGCGAATAGAAGAAGAGTTGCCATGCACAGCGTATTTTGTAATGAAATACAAATTTTATAGGTTGGTATACACATAAGGCGGTGTTTTATAACTTAAATGTTACACTTTTTCATATGTGCTACATGTTATATAGAAACCCATTAAAATAATATGATTACATATATATTGTATTTCATTTTAAGTGGCAACTTACCTTTCCATACAAATCAAATAGAAAATAAAACAATCATATATATTATATTTACTTTGCAAATAAACAAGGAATTGCTGCTTTATTATGTAACTCAAATAAATTGGAAAATATAACCTCAAATTGTCATTATATTACAACTAGTTTCATAATATATTGCGACAAAAAATCAACTGAAAGTCGCAGGCGAATTCAATTACTATTGGCAGCCCTGTGCGCGGCGATTTAATTGCGAACATACGAAGCGACGAAAAGGCAAATCAAAAGAAGCAGCAGCCAACAGTAGTAGAAAAGCGTGGAAAAGTGCAGATAAGTTCCAAGTTGAATTTTCATATAGAAAATATCTTGTAAAACAGGCAAAAGTCCTGATGCAGCTGATTAAGCGCCAGAAAAATTTGTGAAGCGCTCAGTGTTTGCATGTTAAGCTAGCATATTTAGTTTGCTAAAGAAATAGCGTACAAATTGTTTTACTATAAAGCGGCAGTGGTTATTGTACAGGTAAGCAAAGTTTGTTTGTGTGTTTGTTAAGTAAAAGAAGTGAATTATTACGTTAACGCAAAATTTGCAATAGATTACAACGCGTATAGGCAGGCGAAAGCAAATATAGAGCCTACAAAGCCTACGACGACGACCGCCAGAAGAACACAGAGTAGAGTACAGGAGGAAAGGCGAGTCAATAGCTATTATAACAACAACAACGACGACTACAGTAACAGCAACAGCGGTCGACAACTGCTTTTGGTGCTTCTTTTTTGCATTTTGTTTTATTGGCGCATACACCCGTCTTGGCAGTTAACGCAGCGCAGCGCGTGTGTGTGTGGGGGAGAAAACAACTATAGGAAAGCCAACAGCAGTAGCAGCAGCAAAGGAGCACAACATTCAGATTTTCAAGTCGACTACACGGTGTGTGACAGTGCTTAACATTGAAATTTTAATTTGTTAATAACCAGAAAAAGCAATAAGCGCAACAAGAAGCTGCATTTGATAATATCAACGTAGTAATTTGGAAAATCTTAAAACTCAAGTGTGTAATTGTTTCATTAAAAAGGAGCTGGAATTGCAACAGCAGCTGAGAATTACTAGTGAAAAAGTAAAAGACGAGTGCATTAGAAGTAAAATCAAAAAATAAAAATATAAAATGGAAAAGAGAATAGAACTGGAAAGACGCGCACGCAAAGCGAATCAGGTAAGCATTTTTGAAATTAATTAATAATTTTGTATGTTTATTGCTCTTTGTAATAGCTCACGCGGTAATATTTATTTCCTTGCCTTTTTGTTAGTGTATTCATTTCCAACCTTATATTTTGTTTCGTCCAAAGTAACGCCAAGTTCCTGTGTGCGCTAATATTCTATATAATATAAGTACATATGTATGTTATGTGCGTTTGTCTTTGCCGCCCTCCCTTTGTTTTAGTCACGCTTTGGCATCCCCATTTATACTTTTATAAGAAAATCGCATAGTGACTGCAACAGCAGGTTGTCGGAAGGGTTAGACATTGGGTGCATGTCCCCAAATATCAGCACAGGGTGTACAGAGATATGGTTTTTTTTATCATATGGTCTTCCGTCACCAACATCGGCAGCAACACGGATCGAACTTATATCAAAGGAAATTAGTTTGTCTCGAAAAAATTAATCTACCATCAATGTGCACTGAACATACAAATAAACGCGCGTGTGGAACCGCAAACGCACACACGTGTAGCCATGTATACATGTACACATACAGGGCGTACATTGTTTAGGCATATGTGAATATTACCTTTTTAGCAGTAACAACGCATTAGGCTGCCCGAGGGTTGCCATTGTAGTCACGTATAAAGCACTGCCATTCTTGCGTTGATGGCGGCATTTGTTTATTTTTTAAAATAATTTGGTTATCCAGTGCTTTTGACTAAAAACTAAAACGTAAATTTGCACCAGGTAATGAAGATATAAGTAACGTTAACAAAATTCATAAGGTTAGGTTTACCCATGCGATAATTTAAGAGCATTATACACAATGGCACACTTTAATGACTGTATGTATTGGTTGTGTACCTATAGAAATTTCAAATCTCGTTCAACCAATTAAAGTTAATATGGTAAGCATTAAATTATCTGATAGTGGTGGACAGCTGAATCTCTTGAAGCTAATAATTAGCCTATATTTTAATAGTTCAGCAATTCTCTGAAATATTTCATACTCTAAAACTTCGTTTAGCAAATATATACATATGTACTTACATGTACATAGATCTGACTCCACGCCAAATTAGTAGTGTCTTTGAAGTTTAAATACAGCAGAGTTAATTGCTCAAGATCACATATTTCATAAGCTACATTTTTTATATAAAAAAAAAAATAACAGGCGGAAATAATCCCTCAGTTTTTGAGATATCGATCTGAAACTCTGCACACGTCTTTTCCTGCACCTGTGAAGCGTATTATAGCTACTGTGCACCCAAAGCGAACGAACAAGACAAAGGTCAGATTATTGTAACATTTATTGCCTTTTTAGTGAGATTTCACTAAATCATACTAATACACCTAATGCTAAGCAAAATAATTACATTTGCGCCCCTTGGCGACACTACAAGTAAAGACCAGTATAACGAAGTCCTGCGCTAAGGTGGTGCCTCTTAATACTTGCGCGGTAGTTTGTAGTTTTAGAGAGAAAAAAAGCTTAACGCTTCATTTTTATTTATCAGGCTTCACTTTACCACAACGTTAATTCCTATCAATGGATCCACCGTATGGCGGTACACCAAGTTGCAGCATAACGCCGCCAAGTTTAAAATTTATGTCGAAACAGATAATTGGTGGTGGTGGTGTTGCAAATTGCTTGTATTGGGAGAACGGAAGCAACAACTAGTGTAGAATATTTACATGTACACAAATGAAATAATGTATGTATGCTGGTTTGTGTGTTATTCAATGCTAATGACAACATGCCAACTACTGTTGCACTGTTAAATTTGCTATACGCAGTTTCTTGTTATTGTAACAAAATAGCTTGACATTTCTTTTTTTCGAATAGTTTGCTTCGCATATAGATATGTTTGTATGTATGTATGGCATGCTGTGTGTATCTCACAGTTTCCGCCATTCTTTCTTCTGCGCAATTCGCCGTATACTCCATATTCGCTGCCATCTTGGTTTTTGTTGGTTTGGCGATATCGGAATACCTTCATACATTCTTTGTAGAATTACATAAACTCTTGATTTGCATTACCAACTTATCTTGAGTATATTTGTTACCTTTTTTTTTTTACTGGTTGTAGGCATTCTCATTGTTATTTTATGGTTGTATTTGCTTTAAATATTGTCCATATAGCGTTGCATTTGATAAAAATGTCGACAGGTTGCTGCAGTTTTCTTTTCTTGCCATAATCGATTTTCCTTGTGCGCTGCTCTTTTTTTTTACCCTCTGTGTTTCATTTGTTGTATATTCTGCGTTCACACACTCACAACGTGACGCACTATAGGCGATCGGTCGGTCATTTATGAACGCTTGCTCGAGTGCAACTATTTTCATCTTTGTTGCGCCTGCTGCATTGGGGCTATTTGGGGCAAAATTAGTTATAACATTCGCTTTCGCCATACCACATTTTGCTTCTCAATTCACCCACATTCAAAGCAAACGTAATTGGTGTGCTGAATGCAACACTGTGTGGATGGAACATCAATCGTTCTTTGAATTTTTTCCTTTTTTTTTTATATTTATTTTGTTTTTCTTTTCTTTTTTTGTCCGTTTTACAGAAATGTTAGTGGCACGTTTTGGCATTGAAACACAGCTGTATGTGCGCAATGTTTGCAACAGCGCGCTTTTCATGTTTCCTTTGTTAATTTGTTTTTTTTTTTTTTGTATTTCCTTTTTCGGCGCATTTCTTGCTGCCTACCATTTCTAGTATGCTATGAAAGATTGCGAATGTGTTGGATTTTTGCGTTTATTTTCTACTTTTGAATTTTTATGCTGAATTTCAGTTACAAAGTACGCAAAAATATATATATATATAGTTTTAATTTTATATGCATTTTTTCATTTCAGATCACAGATTTAAATCTGGATAATTGCCGGAGTACAAGTATTGTGGGCCTTACAGATGAATACACTGCGCTCGAATCGTTGAGCTTAATCAATGTTGGTTTAACCACACTAAAAGGTTTCCCCAAGTTGCCCAATCTGAAGAAACTCGAACTTTCCGATAACAGGTAATTTCAAAACTTTTATTTGGAAAACTTAAAAATACATATATATATATATATTGCGCTTTTTTATTGTAGAATATCAAATGGCCTCAACTACTTGACTACAAGCCCCAAATTACAATACCTTAACCTGTCGGGCAATAAAATTAAGGATCTGGAAACACTGAAACCATTAGAGGAATTCAAACAACTCGCCGTTTTGGATTTGTTTAATAACGAAGCAACACAAATTGATAATTATCGTGAGAAGATTTTCGAAATGTTGAAATCTTTGAAATTCCTGGATGGGTAAGTTGACGACATGACATTAATTTATTGTGTTTTTACATATAATGTTTGACCATATTTTTAATTGCTGTAGTTTTGATGCGAACGATGTGGAAGCGCCTTCAGAAGATGATGATGATGAGGTTAACGGCAACGATGGCGAAGATGATGGTGACGATGATGGCGAGGAAGAAGGTAAGTGCAGTAAAATTTTCAAAAATAAATGCGAACTGGAATTTAAGCAAGGTATAGGAGGTACACTTAAATATAGGATTTGTAAGGAATTGTGAATAAAAAAAGTAGTAGCCAGTTTAACTTGTAAAATCTCATTGATTATTAATTCTATGAAAATTCATTAATTAATTACAGCAATATTTCTGTTAAAGATTTTCAAAATTTTTGAAGAGTGGTAACACTAGTCTGCTGTACTAATTTTCACATACAAAGTACTCGTATAACTGTAGAAATACATTAATTTAATGTTTTTGCTGATAGCTGAAAGTAAAATAATGAAATCTACTAGGCGAGACATTCCTCATAGGGTCATTTTCATTAGTAATCATATTTAACTGCACACTCACGCTCATAATAGACTAAATTGAAAACGCAAAAACAACAAAAAGCTCATACCAACTACCAACATTTTCAGACACGCAAAAAGCGTTTTGTTTAAATGGTATTGATATTGATTTGGATGAGTTGGAAAAGTTTGAGCAGCGTTTAAAGGCTAAGAAACAGCTTCAGGGCAACGCTGCTACTGCGAAAAATCAAAATACTATTGACGAAGTTGATGACTTAGATGAGTTGTTGAAGGAAATAAAATTGAAAGATGTAGCAACAAAATCTAACTGTGATAAGCTATCCACGGCATCTCAGTCCACAGATGCAATAGTGGCGAAGCGAACAGCCGGCGACGGTGTCAGCAACAACTTAGATGCTGAAACGGCGAATGCACCGCCATTGCCTTTTGCTCTTATACTCTATTGGTTTTTAGCGATACTTAATCTGGCAAATGCCACTTTTTGTAAGCATTTATAAACTGTAACGTTCATATTTTAATTAATTAATGAACTCTGTGCTTGTTTTGTTGCAGATTCCTGCGATGAGGAGGACTATGCCAGCTCTTACGTATCCACAACTGACGTCTCGTTATCGGAGGTGAGCAAACATTAAATATATATTTGATTTATACAGAATTTTCAATGAAATTTGTTCCTCATAGGTGTATAATGAAGATCTGGAAGAGGATAACTCCGAATGGGATGAAGAGAACGCAGCCGAAGACGAATTTGAGGACACCGATGACGATGATAGTGATGAGGATGGCGAGGGAGAGGGGGGAAATGCGTCTGCTAAGGGTAAAGCAGGCAAGGAAAAATCGTCATCCAATTCCGCCGCAGCAAAAGCAGAAACCGCTGAAGCAAATAATACCGCTACCGCTGATGGCGCTGCTGGTGAGTACCCTCGTGCAGAGAACAATGCTAAAAAGCATAAATGCAAATCTTAATCACTTTTTTTTTTGTTAACAGAGGAGGAGGAACCGCAGGCTCGGGGAAAGAAAAGAAAGCACGACGGTTAAAAAGTGCTTTACAATGACGACGCATCATCGTAGCATTTGTTTACAAAAATCCAATTAACGTTTTTCTACAATTTTATTTTAACAAAGAAAGATATAATAACAGAAACCACAACTAAAAAAAAACAACACATGTTTATATCAGTTTATACATAAATGAGAAGCGCAAACAAAACAGCCAGCAGCAAGTTTGAACGATTTAAGTAATGCAATAAATATTGTAACACAGCGTTTATATTATTAAAAAAAGTACTATAGATTTTCATGAAATAGCAGCAACCACATACTAGTACTACTACAACTATTACAACAAAATAACAATAACAACCAACCACATGCAACAAACAAAAACAATTATTATAATATTTATGCATATTAAAACATTTTGGTGGCGCGAAAAAATTTTGTATGTAGGTATAGAAAATAAAGAAAAGAGACAGAAATCGAAAGCCAAGCAATTAATGGAACCGCTAACAATGACAAGCGCATATACTTACAATGTTTTTGGCGTTTGCGCAGCATCCAATAATAAAAAACACAACAGCATGGCAATTCAGAATGTTAGTAAAAAAAAAAAGCGTACATGATAATTATTATAAAGAAGAAAAGTTATTTAAATAGTGATTATTTTAAGCATGACCTATATAAGGAAGTAAAAGTGAGAAAGAAGTAAAAAAAAAAATTCAACGATGGCATGAAAAGGGAAATTTTATGAAGTGCAAATTGTACAACCTCTAGAAACACCAACAACAATAACCACAATGCAAAAGTATATATCCTAAAATCATATAAAAAATTTGCCTAACAGCTGAGGACAATAGTAATTTTTGCATGTGAAATGAAGTGAAAAGAATGTGCTAATGAACATTTTTCAGTGTCTTAGCTGTAGAGCTGTTGGGTAATAATAAATAAATCAAAAGAAACAAGCAGAAAAATAACCGGGTAAGAAGTAACACTAGCCGGCGTAATTATAATAAAAAACAAAAAAAAATTGTTTATTGTTTAGTAGCATTAATTAGTTACTTATACAGTAAGTTTATTAATATATATGTATACACACATACCAACAACAGCAAAAGAGAGCAATGCATAAGCAACTATTTCCTTAAATAAGATGTTTGCCTGTTTTTATTTTCGTTTTTTGTTTTTGCAGTTAGCTCAAAGTACTTTTTACATGTTAAATATGCCTTTGTGTACACTCATACATAAATATATTTTTTATTTTCACAATGTTGAAAATATTTTGCTTAAATTCAGCACATCATTCACGCTGCACAATCAAGGCATCAAGGCATCATAACAAAAAAAGTTATATTGCGTCAGTTAGATGGTATACTTTGTTCTTATAAAACACAGCTAAGTACATTGATTCGCATATTTATATGATTTTGGTTTCAAAAACACATTTTTCCCAACTTCCATTCCTACTATACTATATATCTTTATGTTATATAATGAAGCATATTTTAGAAAACACAGACAATGTCGAAAGCAAACATATACAAATACTAATTTTAATTCTAAGGCATTTTCATATTTCAATGAAAAAAACTTTTCGACAGCGGACAAACTGTATTATTTGACCGAAATAAAAAAAAATAAAGTCATTTTAAAAGGAATTGTTTCAATTACGTGCGAGGTTAACTGTTATATAAACTGTGGTACCAATTAATTGATTAATTTAAAAAAGTAGCATAGCTTGGTGTTAAGTAGTTAGCGGAGAGGTACGTATTCGAAAATGACGTTTATAACAAATTGGTTCATATTTTTTTTTATTAATTTAATACATTAATTTTATAACAGTTCGTATAACAAAATCTGTCAAAATATCAACTATAATTTTCCCCTCATGGCAACGCTGAATCTGCAAAGTCTCCACACTTTTTGACATTTCTACAAAAGCTTATCATTGACAGCTGCGCTTTATGCCTTCGCGTCAATTATTGTTGTTTTTCCCAGCGCAATCGGCCGCTGCGAAAAATCTTATTGGAATTTTAGTTCACCGCTCGAATCGAATTCATTCACTTGTTTGTTGTCTTGCATTCGCATACGCGTTCGCGAATTTCAACGCCGTAAATTCTACAATTTCATTTCTTCTGTTTTGTTAAGTTTCGTTGTGTGTGGTGCCGCTGCTTAGAGAACGCAGGATTTTTATTTTGCCAAAATTAACTATTGCAACAAATGTGAAAGAAACAGCAACAAAACTAAACAAGTTTACTTATAAATCTTAGCGAAAACGCATAAATTTCACTTTTCAAAGTTACATGAATCGCTTTTAAAATAGTAATATTTTTCTTTGGTGGGCGTTGTGTGTCGGCGTAGTGCAATTCGATATTTGAAATAAATAAATTTACTAAACTGCATTATTGCAAAAATAAACACGAAAATAGTTCCGCTGCTGCCAATTCAAGAGTGGTTCAGTTGCAACTCGATACTGCATTCTAACAAGCATACGTTAAAAGAAATTCCAAAAAAAAGGAATTTTGCCAACGACATTAAACATTAAGAGAAATTTTTAAATTTGTGTGCACACTAGTTTATGGCCGAAAATAAAGGAATCATGCTGGCTAAATCCGTACAAAAACACGCTGGACGTGCCAAGGAAAAGGTGAGTGCAGCCATTATTCTACAAGAACTTGTTGTAATCTTTCAGTTTGCAAAAATAAAAGAATTAAGCTATTTAGTTTGGATAAAAGTATTGTTCACATTCACCGGAGTCCAAAGCAAGTACCGTAGCATACTCGTAGATTCCAGTGGCACATCCTTGACCTGCCGCATAGTCAACGAAACGCTGCGCATACATAAAACAACATCTATTGTATGTATGTTGGTATTCAAAGTGTTCAGCATTAGAAAAGTAAACAAATATTACTATTTAATTACGCGCTGGAAGGCGTTGGCCGGGAGGCTGGAAAAGTAATTGCTCTCGTTTTGGTGTGACAACTGTGAATTTAGTACATTTTCGTGTTACCAAATAGTTGCTATACAATAATAATGCTAGTTAAAAGAGGAAGTTCCTTTTTTGGTTAAAAAGCCCAATATTATTATTTTTTGCTTGCTTTAAGATTTCTGTACGAGTTGCTCTTAAGTTTTAGGGGCGTTACAATTTCGTATTCAGATACACTGGTCCAACTTTCTACTAAATTCATTAGAACAGGTCACAATTCTACTATATAGGTATAATAATTCTATATACTTTTATTATACAGACCTATTTACCTTTATGCATTTTTTAGCTTTCATTGCGGTTTTAATACTCAAACTAGGGCAAGTCGGCTTAAAATATCTCCAATTTGTTCTTCTACTAATGTTGTTGTTGTTGTAGCGGCAGATTCTTCTACTAATGGGTACCCATGCTAATGGTTTACCTAACCACACCAAAACAAACTTTTTCCAAAAGCAATTGCTTTATTGCTGCTGTAGGCATATTACTTTGTTGTGTTTGCGCTGCACCTGACCCATTTCACCTTCAACCAGCCGCCAACAGTGTTATTAACTCGGCTGGGCTGGGCTGGGCTCTGTAACTCATAACAAGACAAGTACTGCGAAATATGTAGAGTTTGAAATAGTTTTGTTGTATTTTCATACATACTCGTACATACAAAAACAAATAGTAAAAAATCAGCACCCATGCATTTATGTGCACCCATGTGAAAATGTAAATAATAATTCTTCTGTGTGCATAAATATTTGTTGTCGTATTCGTAAGCTATAACGGTGCTATGCCTATCAGTGTTTAAAAGCTGGAAAAGCGTTGCAAACCGAAATCTGTTGTATATCGTTTTAATCTAAGAAAAATGCTGCGGAACGAAATGAAAGTACAAATGATCTCCAAAGATATCGCATCGATAATTATTGCATTTCATTTCACTCAATTAACGATAATGAAAAATGAATAAAAAATAAAAAATAATAATAAATACGTGTGTACATATACATAAATAAATGTGTAAACCACGAAACTAAGTACAATAATAACAAAACACTGTCATCTGCACTCCAACTGCGCGATATTGCGCGCACTTGATGCACCAGAGTGGAGCTTGAAGCGCCTCGTCTGCCAAGCATGCTATATATCTATGCATACATACTTGTATATATGTATATGTAACACCGATAAATGAGCGAAGCGCAGCCCAACTACCAGACGGCCTAAGAGTCACACTCACCTTAATCTCTGCTCGCAACTGGTTTGTTTCCTACAACTGTTGTTGCTTGTTACCAATAGAAGTGGCCTATTATTGTTTTTGCTATTGTTGTATTACGCTTTTTCTCTTTCAGTCATTACTTTTTATCGTTTCATGTTTACTTTTTTTATCTTACCGACCGGCTTGGCTTGTTGCTATTGCGCTTAATTCCGTCGTATTTTATTTCGATGCTCACGTCTTGACCGGTAACTTTGTCCGGTTTTTGGGCTAGTGCCACACGTAGCGCCAGCACCGCATTGGCTGTGAGCACAGTGAAAGTCTGTGTTTGTAAAATATTTGTGTGAGTGCAGTTTGTGGGGGGGAAAGTGTCTGAGCGGTTTGGTATGAGAGCTTTTTGGTAAACAAATAATACAATTATTACATTTCTCAGGTATGAACAGTACTAGAGAGTGTTTTTATTAAAATTTTCTCGAATTTACTTTGATTTAGTGTCTATTATTCTTAAACATTTTAGAAAATAGTCTAACAATGATACACCAAAGTTGTCGGATACGGATGTTTTCTGGAGTCTGCAGTTAAAAAATTGCTTTAAGTTGGCAATTCTTACTTAAATTTATATTACATTTTTTTTTTTTTAAAGTCATAAAAGCGTTCAGCGCCACTTTCTAAAAAATATAATCTCTTATAGAAGCAACCAGTTGGAGAGTTAAGGAAATGTAGTGAGGTTTTGAGTTAAACAAAAGATTCAACTATGCAAACAACAACAAGTTTAGCACTTAACAACAAATCTGGCTTGTAAATTATATGCAATAACTGTATAAGAGAGATAAGCATTGTTGGTTGGAACTGTGGGAGAAGAATGCAGGCGGACTGCTATATGTTTACACATGCTTATGTAAGTATGAACATATATACTCGTATGTATGTGCACACGTGAATGCAGTGAAATCAGGTGGTTGGCTATGCGTTGGTGGTGCGAAAGCAAAATCGACCTCAAAAAGTTGCAGTGAAGAGCAGGTGCATTTTTGGCTATGCATATACACATACATACAAGTATATATGGAAATATGTAAAGCAAACTAAAGAAATTCAAACAGCTTGGCTACAAAGTCAATACAACAACAATAGCTGCAGTGGCATGCGTTGCAACTGATTTTATGCGCAAAATTAATTTCTTTCACACAGAGCGAGCTGCAATTGCTGTTCGACCTGCTGCTGCAGCAACATGTTGTAATCACGCGGAAAATGCAAATGTCCACGCTGTAATGTACGGGCTATCAAAAGCGAGCACATAAGCGTATTACATGTTGGCGATAGTTGTACATACATACATACATATGTATCTATGTACAAGAGTATATGTATGTGTATAATGAGAGAACGCAGTCGCGTACCCACACAGCCACGAAATGAGCAAATTGCAAGAAAAAAGTTGTCTTAAATCTGGGAAATGCATTTTTCTTAGCCGCATAGCAGCAGCTCATCTGCGTTTACCGTAAAAAAAATATTACACATGTATTTACAAAACTTGAGCGTAATTGTAAGAGGCGAGAAAAAAAATTGCCGCGAACAAATTGCTCATTGCTGAGGTGCACATTGCTCGGGTTGTGCTCCCGGTTGTGCGCCCGGCATATTTGCTTTTTGTTTTTGGTGTTTTTGCTGATGTCAATACACTTGGACGACATAGCGTTGAGGCGCAGCAGCGTACTTCCTGCTTTTTTGGTGCACATACATACATATATACATATACATATACCATATACAATACATAAAGGTGTGCATTTCTAAAGCGCTATTTTCAATCGTCAATTTGTAAGGCGTCGTGTTGTTGCCAAAATTAAAGAATGAGTAATTTTCTTAGCTTCAGCTGCTTCTAAATGCAATGGATAATTAAGAAGTTTATAGTATGTCCGGACATAAACTACGCTGCACCGATTTGGTCGCCTGAATGTAGTGAAACACAGACGAAGAAATGTAGTGAAATTCAGACGTGTCAAAATACTGCACTCCGAATGATTACAGGGTCTGCTGTTGAACATTTACATACCGAGGTTCGCATGCTTTCAGTCAAGGAACATAATGAACTCCTCGAAGAACACGCGTTGCCCCGAGAATCTAGAGTGACTCTTACGCAACTTCGTTCTGGATTAAACGGGTTAAGCGGGTTAAACTCCTACTTAACCAGAATCGACGCCGACATATCAAACATATGTCCAGCATGCAATGAGTGCCCACGTGACTCTTTGTATACCAAGCGAATCCCACTCATCTAACACCCATCTCCTTATGGTCCGACTCTGTCAAAACAGCACGTTTCCTGGGCCTACTGTTAAATGACTTTGATGCCAACCAACCCGAATCTTAACACCTAAGCGGTGACTAGATAAACGCTACAACAACAACTACTTCCTTTGGTAGTCGCATCTATTCGGAACGTTGTTGTTGTATTGTATCTGTATAGCCATACAACATTCCCTAAATACTTTGAGGAATGCTGGCGAGTTGACTGCTTCACAATTTCTTGAAAGCTTCCCTGTATCTCGTCGACATTTACTATAGCTCGATCAAACTCTCTTTGCGTTGTTGTTATTGATAAAACGACAATGAAACCCCTGTTTAGTGGTACGAAATTAAGTGTAGCCATCGATTTCATCTAACAGGAGATGCAGGTTACGAGAAGTTTCGACAGTGACGCAACATGGATGAGGGAAATTAGCTGAGCTGGTTTGAGTGGACATGTGGGCAAGTGAGGTCTCGATGCCTGCGGGAAATACTTGCGGTGTGTTGGCACAAGCTCTCAGAAAGCTAATTAGAAAATGTGCAATACCTTCTCTCTCTCTCAGCAATTTTAATTTATCCAGTTTCGGATTAATATCTTATACAGGTTTTCGTAAAAGCATACATGCCTGAGCAGTTGATGGTGAACCTCTAGAGTATTTTTGCTATAAAAAAGTCTCATACACTCTCATTAACTGTACGGAAGCCTAAAACTTGTAAATACCTAATGTAATACATAACAAAGAAAAAGAAACGATGATCAGGCATATAATTTATTTGCATATACAATTTTATAGATGTGTGTGTACTATATAAGACTTCCGGCACCGGTATACCAGAGCAATGAATATTTTTTATAGAACATAAGTTGAGAATTTGCTCAATAAAAAATTGTTTTTTTTTTCAAAATTTAAATTTTCGAAACAAATGTTTTGATTCGCTGAAATGATTTATTATATTTTGTATAGCTCATTTACAGCTACATTTCAATAGTTTTGTCTACAAATCAGCTATTACTTTTACACATACATATGTATGTACATATTAAATAATAACAATTCCATGCATCATCACTTTTTCGAATTTTTTTTTTTTTTTTTTTTTTTTTGTAAGTAAAAATAGTAGCAGCATCACAATTTGCTTTGGCAACAAAAATTGCTACATATTTAATAAATTTATTTAT